ATTAGGATAAGAGGTCTGTAGAAATAAAACTTTCCCATATTTTTCATGTAATTTTCGACCCAGCTGTGTTCGCTATTTTCAACACGCGCTATTTTTCAATTTTGAAGAGGGAATTCTCATTGATGGCACTGATGGCAGACCGTGATTTCACTATGCACAAAATTTATTTAGAATCCAAAAATATCTTGGTTTGCCTCCATTACGATTCTGTCATCCTCTTTCAATTATTCGAATTAATTTAAAATTTCTGTTAATCTTCTTTTCTACTATTTCACAGTTACATTTACTCTTCAGTATTGGTATGTAGTTCACCAAAATTTCCTCACAATGGTTTTTATTTGACAAAACCTCGGAGTTTTCCGGTCATTAGAAAGCCAAATATATAGTATCAGTACTGCTTTCCGAGCAGGGCTCAGTTGTCTTATGTTTCCAGCATTTGAGGCATGCCCTAAGCCTTGAAAATTGAGGGGAAGCAAGAATGAGTTAGTGGTGATGGCCTCAGTGCGCTTCCCAAAGCTGGAAAAAGCCACCCTTTGGATGAACCTCTACTAAACTCATTTATAGTCAGTTATATAGTATATTAAACATCAATGTGTTATATCTAAATCAATTGAGAAGAATTTCTTACTCGTGGTAGTTGTTATGTATACTGTAAACTCCAACCAAAAAGTAACCAGAAGGGACCACGAAGTTGAGATCCTTTCCCCACTTATTTCGATACGATGTTGTCTTGCACGAATGAGTAACGAACCCTTTCACGCGACAACAAAGGAATTTAAACCTAAAAAAGGAAGAAAAAGCTGTAGTCAGAGAGAGAGAATAAAAGCACTCTTCCGTGTTGAAGCTTGGAAAATCTGAGATTCTTTTGTTTTTCAGTCTTGAGGGATCTGGATGTGACTCAAAAGTTCATTCTTACAAGAAATGGGCCATTGTTGTGGATTAAATTCGACTTCACAAGTTCAAACAAAAGCCTTTTGTTGTTTGTTGTGCTGAGGGAATTGTGCCGAGACTTGGCGAAGATTAATTTCAAATCTTCGCAAAATTGTCGGTGTGTAGAATTAGCGGCACCAGGGGAGAGAGGTTAGGAAAGTCGCTCATGAGGGTGCTGTTCGCACAGGGGTACCCAAGGGAGAAAATGCCCTCCTTCACTATGCATGGTGTCTCAGTATATTTTTTTTAATCAGCGAACCAGTTAATTATAAATTTATTAACACGATAAGGATGCTTTGTTGTTAAGAACATTCACGAACTATACTCGGCAAGAGGACGAGAGGAAAAAGCTGAGCTTGGACTTCATTCAGCTGAGTTGCGATGGAGCTGTACTGGATTCTCAAATTGTTGTTCTCTTCCCGAAGACGCCTTATTTCGGCCTCAGAAACCTCTCTAAGAGATGGCTGTGTTTGTGCCAGTGTACAACTCTGTTCTCGATTGTGTTGAAAATGAGTTAGAAAACTCCCACCGCTGACGGACTTGACCTTAAATTTCGACAACATTACTAAGCGAGTATCAGTCGTCACTACACCCGGACGTTTCTGTAGTTACCATCATTTTGTGTCTTGTGTTCATTCATGGATAACTTAAACAAAGCGATTGCTTTTAGTAGATCGCTTGAGACTTGTCAATAGATCATTCTTATCAGGGAGNGGTTTTTTTATTTTCAATATTCACACATCGAATTTCAATTGAAATATACCTATTCCAGAATAATTTTGTTTTGAATTTCACTTTACTCTCCAATAATCTCTCTATTCAAACATTTTGGCCAATAGGTCTGCATAAAGCGGTACGACTGCGCACTTTTAGCCACAGGCAGTGTCGATGTTTCTGTGCAGAGCTTCGAGCAGTTTCTGTGTTCGAAACTCCCCCACTGGGATTCCCCTAGCTCTGGCCTCATCTCCGTTATCCATGCGTCTTTGAATTTCCGGATTTGAGATGTCAGCTTGACGCCGCTTTCAAAGAGCTTATTGCCTGCTCCACGATGATTAGGAAACGACCGAAGGGAGGAAGCGTTATAAGCTCCGTGCTTGGGGGGGGAATGACCCGGTTTCGATGGGCCGATGCTCCGTCATACACAAAGATCCCCTCCTCATCGGCATCTAGTTTTTTTCGCGCCTGTGCCAAGAAGTTATCGAAACACACAGCATTCATTCCGCCAACAGCTGCTGAAGAAAACACATGTCCATTAATAGGCGGAATTGCCATGGTCACGGTCAAGTTTCTGCAAATCAAGTCTGTTTCTGTCAGCAGGAAGCAGAAAGGGGCCTCGCAATTTTCACTTAGAAGAGCACCCCGTCTGATGTCCTTGCCACGGTGCAGTCATGGATCTCGGGTTTGAGTGGTAGTTTATTCGAGCAAGTGTGAGTAAACAGTTTTCATTGATGATTTCCTGTAGGCAATCTCTCATCTTATCATCCACGCGAACCTTGTTTCTACCTCCTCGTGATCTCACCTGGATCCTGCCCTCTCTGATGTAGCGCGCCACAATGCCTCTTACCGTTGATCAGATCACTCCGAGCGAGTCCGCGACCACAAGATAATCTTCCTCCTCAAGTCCTCTCACGATACTCTCTCTGTGTTAGAGTAGTGTTCGGTCTCTTCGAAGCGAATTCACTGGACGAACTCTACTGAATGTAAATTCAGGCAAAATCGGTGTTCAGTTGAAAATCGCTACTTGCATATTGAATATAAAAAAGCACTGAATTGTTTGTACAAGTGCATTAATAATTGTCTTATTCATACTAATGCCGTCCAGTAATGCTATTGTATTGCAAACAGACTGACAAAAATGTTAATGAATGGTTCATGGACTATATTATTTGTGTATTGTCTCTATTGACTGGTGTAAATGATGTTTAGTGGTAGCCGAAGTTGAGCCGAAGTGGTAGCCGAAGTGGTAGCCGAAGTTGAGCCGAAGTGAAGCCGAAGTTGTAGCCGAACTAATGCCGAAATTCGGAGCCGAACCTACTCACTCATAACTACACTTATAAGGCATCTGCCGATCACGTTTACGTTACGTTATAATCCGTGAGAGGGTGATGACCTGACTGACTGTTCACACGACTGATCACACCTTTCAACTCATCATCATTCGTCATCATTCGGCTACCATTTCGGCTCTAAATTCGGCTCAATACTTCGGCATTAGTTCGGCTACAACTTCGGCTTCACTTCGGCTCAACTTCGGCTACCACTTCGGCTACCACTTCGGCTCAACTTCGTTCACCACTTCGGCTCTACTCCGTTCAACACTCGGTTCCAATTTGACCGAGCACATTTTTCATTCATTTATTACACTCGGACCCAAGCCGCGCGGGAATGCTTATCCAGACTACCTACACTACTTCCGTTTAGAAGACTTTTGGCGACTGCATTACCTTATTTTTTATATTTAATTTTATTTCCGTGTCCTTGTTCTTCAAGAGCCCTCGACTTTTGCGCTTTTTTCCGAGGAGAGCTCTCACTTTCTCTTGTGTATCTTGTTAAGAGTACCAAACTGGAACACCTCAATTAAATTTCTCGTTTGTTAATACGCGCATCCCCTGATTTAAACGTAGACAAATTCAAAAGACTTCCGAAGATCGTCAATTTTGGCTTTTTTCCGAACTTGGGCACGGTAGATCTGAGAACGATACGGTGCAGGTCATATAAAAATAGTTGCAAAGATAAATTCAATACATATCACTGGTTTCTGTAGTGTAGTGGTTATCACGTCCGCTTTACACGCGGAAGGACGCGGGTTCGAGCCCTGCCAGAAACAGTTTTTTCGAAAAACTTGTCTTGAAGCAAGAGAGTCCTAATCAATGATCTACTTTTATTTCGACAAAAAAATTGGCTCATTGGCTCTGACCCTTCAGATGTTTATTATCCATTCCCTCCCCTGGTTTATTCATTTCTGTAGATCCTCACTTGTCACAATTTGCTTTAACCATTTCACTCCCAAGATCTCACTAATAATTCTCCCTGTTGTCCGCCATACATTCCTAATAATGTTTGTTTTGAGAAATTGGTGTTGGATCGACCAATAATCACCTGACTGCTATTTTTCTTTATTCTCCTCACTTGTCTCCCTGATATTGTATTGATATTGTAAGGAGAAACTCTGTCTTGATCACTCATGGGAGTTTAAGGGTTAATCTATAATCTTGAGTTATTACACGACTCGGGAAGTCAGAGGGCCAATAACTAAATTCAACCAATCAAAATGCTCTACTGCCGGTCAATATTCTCTCAGTATTGGACCGGCCACTGTCCCGAATGGTCCCGAATGATACCGCACTTGTGTCCCTTTGAATTTCAGTCGTGTAATAAATCTCTGATTAACCAAGCTTGCTCGGGACCGTACTGGAAGAATATCGGCCCTCGGTCTTTTTTGTATGGACCTCGCTGCGCTCGGTCCGTACTGTCAAGACCTCGGGCCGATATTCTCCCAGTACGGCCTTCGCGCTTGGTTAATAAGATATATGTAGTAGTCATGTTTTTGTGAGGTTGTAGAAACAGAAAAATGAAGTGATAGAGCAAGAAGCGAAATTCTTCATCAGGACTTGGTCATTTGTGATTACAGTGGCTCACGATCATTCCTTTTCTTGTGTGATGCAAATGGTGCTAAATGGCTCTCATAGTAATACCATAATTGTCTGACCATTTTTGATTGTTTGTTAGATTAACAACTTGTTTTGAAGTCTCACTGGACACCACTCGTGTGCTTGTACCTAACGTTAGGTCCCTAAGTTAAAGAAGCTCTCAATCAGACGTAAGAAATGTTCCTAAATGCGACTCTGATCAAAAAACCAGTTACGCTAGCCTATCCACGTCAAAGTCGTGATACAAGCGTTTATCCACCCGCTTTTATAACAGCAATTAATAAAATACCCTTTTCACTTTCAATGTGTTTGGCCTTTTTGTCTAGTGGCATGATTCTCCATGACGAGTCATGGCACAGGTGATTTGCCACCTGCTTTTATAGTAACCATACCCTTTTCTCGTAGTATTCAGACATGTCCGGCCTGTTGGTCCAGTGGCATGATTCTCGCTTAGGGTGCGAGAGGTCCTGGGTTTGACTCCCGGACAGGCCCGATCTTCGATGCTTTTGGAAAAATTTTTTAGATGCTATCAAACCGGGAAGTCAAACTTCCTTAGAAAAATTCATGGCGATTGCATTACGAATAGATTATTGACCAAGTGTGAGGTCGAGATGGCTGAGTATTGGCCAAGTTCGAGAACGACTCTATCTAAGACATTGCCAAAAAACTACGATCTTCGTA